GAGGGGCTGGATCTCTCACTACCAGACATCACGACCTGAGCTGAAACGAAGAGTCGGATGCTTAACCAACTGCGCCACCTAGGTGCCCCTCTCCAACTTAATTTTTAAGGCCAGTATAATCTTGATACCAAATTTCACAATGTTATGAAAAAGAAAAAGTACAATTCAATCCTACTAATTTATAAGGATGCAAAATTCCTAAATAAAAGATTAGCAAGTGGGGGAGCCTGGATATGAGGTCAATATAAAAAAAACAACAACTATATGTCTAGAGGTCAGCAAAAAAAATGATAAAAAATGAAATTTTAGAGAAAAAATTTTTTTAAGTAGGCTCCACACCCAGCGTGGAGCCCAACATGGGGCTTGAACTCACCCCCCGATCAAGACCTGAGCTAAGATCAAGAATGAGAAGCCCAATCAACTGAGCCACCCAGGCATCCTAAGTATTTATTTCCTTTTTCTAAGGATTTTATGTATTTATTCAAGAGAGAGCAGGGGAAGGAGCAGAGGGAGATGGACAAGCGACTTGGTGCTGAGCACAGAGCCTGACCGGGGCTGGATCCCATAGCTCTAAGATCATGACCTGAGGTGAAACCAAGAGTCAACGCTCAACTGACTGAGCAACACCCCCCCCCAGGCACCCTAGAAAATGAAATTTTAGTAGAGTGAAAAAATATGAAATATCTAGTAATAAATCTAATAAAAATGTGTAAACTCTCTACACAGAGAACTATGAAACATCACTGAGAGAAATTTTAACAGAGCTAAATAGAGGAACATACTATGTTCATGGACCAGAAGACTTGATACTATAAAGGTATCAATTTTGCCCAAATTTATTTATAGACTCAATGCAATTGCAATCAAAATCCCAACAGTTTAAGTCTTTGTTGCTGCTGTGGCTTTGTTTTGCTTTGTTTTGGTGGAACTTTAATAAGTTGATTCTAAAATGCTGTGTAAATGTAAAAGACAAAGCTAAGAAATTCGTAAAGAACAAAAAACAAGATAAGAATACTTGATCAAAGGGGCGCCTGGGTGGCTCAGTCGTTAAGAGCTTGCCTTCAGCTCAGGTCGTGATCCCAGGGTCCTGGGATTGAGCCCCACATCAGGCTCCCTGCTCAGTGGGAAGCCTGCTTCTCCCTCTCCCACTCTCCCTGCTTGTGTTCCCTCTCTCACTGTGTCTCTGTCAAATAAATAAAATCTTTAAAAAAATTAAAAAAAAAGAATATTTGATCAAATGAATGTAAACTCTTATTTTAAAACTACAGTGTGGTACTGGAGCAAGAATATTCTAATTAACAAAAGGAATAGGCTAGGGGCGCCTGGGTGGCTCAGTCGCTGGGCGTCTGCCCTCAGCTCCGGTCATGGTCCCAGGACCCTGGTATCGAGCCCTACATGGGGCTCCCTGCTCTGCGGGGGGCCTGCTTCTCCCTCCTTCACTCCCCCTGCTTGTGTTCCCTCTCTTGCTGTGTCTTTCTCTGTGAAATAAATAAAATATTTTAATTAAAAAAAAAAAAAGGAATAGGCTAGAGTACCCTAACAAGTCAACTGTCATATATCTGGGCACTTGACATATGACCAAGGTAGCCCTACAGAGCAGTGACAACAGATTTACCAATAAATCATGGTGGGACAACTGGATGTCCACAGAAATTTTTTAAAAATCAAACTTGACCCCTATCTCACACAATATGCAAAAATTAATTCCCAGTGATTTGTAAATATAAATTTAGGTGTTAAAACTGCAAAGTTTCTGGAAGATAAGAGATTTATAACCTCAATCTAGAAAAAGACTTATTGAACAGGACACAATAAAACACTAACTGTAAAGGAAATGGAAGCTCTAAAGAATTCAGACATGAAAATTAAACGAGAAATCACTCTCTCCTTAAGAGAGTAAACACGCAGGCAAGCAACAGAATGAGGATTTTGCCACACATACAACCAACTATGAACTCATCTCCAGAATATATTTTTAAAAAATACCAATAATCAGTAAGAAAAAGACAAACGGGGCACCTGGGTGGCTCAGTCGTTAAGCATCTGCCTTCGGCTCAGGTCATGATCCCAGGGTCCTGGGATCGAGTCCCACATCGGGCTCCCTGCTCGGCAGGAAGCCTGCTTCTCCCTCTCCCACTCCCCCTGCTTGTGTTCCTGCTCTCGCTATCTCTCTCTCTGTCAAATAAATAAATAAAATCTTTAAAAAAAAAAAAAAAGAAAGAAAAAGACAAACGATCCAATTGAAAAGTGGGCAAAAGACTTGAACAAGAATGTCAGAATATTTCAAATGGCCAATTAACATGAAAAAGGTGCTCAACCTCATTAGTCAGGAAAAAGCAAATGAACAGCACAATGTGGTATTACTATAAAAACACCAGAATGGTTAAAATTACAGACTGATGATGTTGGCAAGGGTATGGAGCAAGGGAAATTCCCATACGTTGCTGGTGGGAGTATATTGGTACAACTACTCTGGAAAACAGTTTGGTATTATCTGCTAAAGCTGATGATTCACATAACCTATGAGCTAGTAATTCCTCTCTGCACCAGTGCACTCATTAAATGGACGATGATGATGATGATGATGATGATGATGATGAGATGAAAGAAAGGGTAACCAACATCACGCTCCTCTCCTTTTGATTAGGACTGATCATTCTGTTTGCTCCCACCTCCCAGATCCATCCCTAGGAGGCTGATCCCTAGGGACTAGATCACCCGGACATTCTGTCCAGCTGGCTTCTCTTGGGTCCCACAGATGAAAGACAGTGGCAGAAGCTGACAGGGTAGGAGGAGAGAAGTCGGGCATGTCCTCTCCACTTCCTTTTTGCTGTGTTCTGAGTTTCTAGGGGGAGTCTGCTTCTCTGGAAGCCCAAGCTCCTCCTGCCTGCCTCCAGCTCACAAGGCTTCCAGAAACATTCCTGTCGCCTAGGGTAGTAACAGCCTCCACCGCTGGGCCTTTCACTGGTTCTGGTAACCCTGCCTCCATCTTTCTAAGTTGTCTTCACCAACTCTCTTCGTTTGAACTAGGTTTAGTTCTATTTTCTGCTGGGACCCCATGGAGTGGCAATTTTATGTTAATTTATATGATTATTTTATCAACACTGGTCTTCTCCACAAGGCTGTGTGAGCTTCATGACACTGGCACTTCAGACACTGCCAACAAATATTTGTTAAATGATTCAGTAAGTTAATGAACACATGAAGGAACTGACATTAGGATCAAAATATACTATACATAGTTCAAGGATTTCTAAAATGTTCCTGCTATATTTAATGTGGCACCAATCTATCAGAGCAGACATTTTTCCTCTTTTAGTTGAAAAAGGCCTTTGTTGGCAGGAATATTTTTACTCGTGATAATTTCAAGATACAATTTTATCTTTCTGAAGTAAGTTATCAATAATGAGATTCCAGGTGGACTGTGGTTAGTTATAGCTCTGAGTCGGTAGGAACATAATAAAAATATTAACTAGGAAAACAAGGCTCTGCATCTCTGAATTTTTCATAACCTATTGCATATGACTCTAGAAAAGAAATACTACTTAGTAGTTACACAGCGTAGGATGGTTAACTCCAGGCAGGAAAGGTTCTTTGTTAATACAATAAACTACCTATTTACCTTGTTGTTTTAGGCTTAAAGAAGGACAACCTGGGCTGATCCCAGTATTAGATATGCAAGCTACGTATTAGTGTATATAGTTAGACAACTTCTACAAAATGAACTGGAAAATTCTGATTCTAGGCCACTAATCAGAATTTCCAGAACAGGGTCTGGAACTCCGCATATTGCCTTCTCTTTTATGGCAGAAAAAGTGTAGAATAATCAGGTTAGCTATAAGCGATATGATATACTAGCCAAGATCCTTTAAACCCATATATGCCATAAAATACATTTTATTTATTTTATTTGAATTTTAATCTTGAGAAAATTAGTCTGTAAACTATAATCATAACTAAATATGCACCATATCAAAAATTTTTATTTCATAGGACAGCATTTTGAAAGCAACAATTTAGCTAGCATGCAAGCTCCCAGAGGGTGATATATTTTGGACTCTAAAGAGGTCAAAGTTCATCTCTTTTCTGCAGTCTCTTTCCTGGTTAAACCTCTCCTATTTCTTCTGCTAACTTCTTCACTGTAAAAAGTATCCCAGTTCTCTTCATTCTAACCACCATGGAGAGGGGAAGGTCCAATTTCTCTAGTATGGTATGAGTTCAAGATTATTTTGTAATCTCCCAGCAAGCAAACTAGTTAGTTAATAACAAAGACCTTTCTAATATGGCACTGCGTGGGATATGGGTCTGATTTTACAATCTTTAAACGATAGGGCATGGTTTTACTAATAGTTACATTATTAATAATACCTTGTGAGGGGGTTCGGCTAAGTGATTGAGTTAAAATAGTTAAATTGCTGTTACACTGCTAATTCTTTTTACAACCAGATAACTTGCTTTCTTATGTCTAATTAGGTTGCAACAACAACAACAAAAATCCTTTTTCATTCTCTTCAGTCATAACTAATATAGGAAATGACCACACCAGCCTCTTACTGATTGCTTCCCTGGAAACGAAAGAGCATTTTATACCTGATCCTGCCATGATCAGCAACATAATGAAGTAAAAATTAACCGTCCTCTACTTCTCTCGCCCATATACAAAGCGATATTTTTTAAGAGGAATGGGGAAGGGGGGATTAGGGAGAAGTACCGCATTCAATTCATAAGGGCTGCTCCCCCCAATCTCCATTTTCATCAACATCACCCACTTAGGGGGCGCCCGGTACTCGAAGGGCCCCCTAGCCCGACAGGGTAAGAAAAGAATCATCTCTTTCAAAGACTGAAAAATCACGACTCCCGATGTCTTCCGCGCACCCAAGTGGGGCCGGCCGCCCAGCCCCGGGGGACCGGGCGGCGTCCCGGGTGCCCTGAGCCCAGGGCCGCGGGCGGCGCCGCAGCGCTCCCGGACCCTCCCGCACGGACTGGCCGCCGGTCCTTACCCGCTAATCCGCCGCCGCCGCCTCCATCGCCCGCGTGCCCCTTCCTCCGCTGCAGGATGAAGTAGGGGTTGGCCCTCTCGGTGATCCACAGCGCGTTAGCCAGCAGCACCTCTTCGGGGTTCACCCACATGTTCCCGGGCGCCGCGAGCGGACACACAATGGGGCCGCGGGTCGGGTCCTGCACACACCGGCGCGCACAGGCGCGCACCCCCGGGCACACGCGCGCCCTCCCGCCCGCTAGGTGCGGCGGCGGAGAGCCACTTCACCAGCCGGCCGCCCGCGGC